TACATAATTTAAAGAAATTACTTACTCCAGTGTTTCGGGTGCAAGAAACCAGTTGCAAGAAAAATAACGGGAAGAAAGTGATTTCATATTTTGACTTGCAAGAAATCCAAGGCGTTTAAGAAACCACGTCACGCCATACCTGTTCAGTTTTCATTCAAAAATCCGTCATCACTATTTCCGATTGATGATTCTCATTCACATTCAGTCATTTTCTTTCAAATTCATTGCATTTCACTTCATCGGACTTCATTTCTTACTTTGCCACATGTATTAAGCATAGGATGAAAAATGAAATGAGTGAGAAATCCTTTCATTCACAGTCATTCATCTGAAATGACGGAATCTTTCAATCATTTTCATTCAAATCACAGGAAATTCATTTTCATTCACTATCATTCACCATCATAATCACTAAAATGAATGAATGTGAACAGGTATGCTTCACGCTACTATATTTCATATGTACTGCGTGGCTAGATAGCTTATATTTCTTGTACCTCGATCGCATCTCTCGCTTTCCAGTGCAAGAACACCACAAGAGAAGCTTTTACCATGACACTTTTCCATGTGTCGATACGTTTATCGGCATAGTGAAGGTCATATGGGCCCTTATTTTAGGTCATTTTACATTGAAGGGCCCCCCAATTTCTGGCTGTCTTATTCCCCCCCTTCCCTTATTCCTCCTCGAGGCAATCCCAATAAAAGCTGGTCTGGTGTCTGAAATTTCTGTCCGATTTGATCAAACAAGTATGTTCCGTCGACATAATCAGTGTTAATATTTACCCAAATTATTAAATTCCTCTCCTCTCCTCGCCTCCATTAGCCCGGCATTTGTTGTATCCTCGCCGTCCTGACAATGAACGGACGGAGAGAGGTCGGCTTGGTTGGCTGGGGGAAAGCAGTGTTTGTTTATTTTTATCATTATTCATTCATGACGATGAATCCTAATTGCCTCCTCTCATCGCCACACGACGACCGACCGGGACAACAATGCCACATCTGTGCATGGACAGGATCAGCGCTAATTGTTGCATGTGTCTCTCTCACCCAACCCAATTCCATCCATGCAATTTCCCTAATCTCATCGAAAAACAACAAGTTTCTGGCGAGCCGAGGAGGGGAAAGAGTTGCTTGGCTGGTGTGGATGGATTGAGAAACTTGAGACTGGGAGAATTTAGTCTGATTTCTAAATTGTGGACTAAATTTGGCATAAAATTGACAGCCGAGGAGGACAATTACAGTGAAATTAGCATACTACTCATCTCGCTATTAATTTGCATGGAAGAGTTTTGGGAAAAAAATGTGTATCGATTGAGAAACTTATTGAGACTGGGAAAATTCAGTATCATTTCTAAATTGTGGAGTCCACAATGTGGACTAAATTTGGCACAAAATTGACATCCCAGGGGGACAATTACAGTGAAATTAGCACAGTAATGGTCTCCTAAGTAGTAATTTGCATGGAAGAAAGTATCCCAAAAAAATATGAGTTGGCTAATGCATCGATTGAGAAACTTGAGACTCTTAAAATTCAGTCTGATTTAAAAATCGTGTCAAAAACTTTGCACAAAAATGAAATCCCATTTATTGCAGTGCAATTAACACAGTAGCTGTCTCGCTATTAATTTACATATTCGCAAAAAACTGTACATACATATTAATGGATCTTCATAATAAAGTTAAATTAACGAAAGTAACCGAACTATTAAACCCATCCATACATAAATATCGGCCGAAACCCCTGAATGAATGAAACAGTGTGTCACTTACTTAGTTACATTTGGTGGCAGATGTGTGTGCCGGATGAGGGTCAACAATCAAGAGATTACAATCGAGTCATCATCCATCCCTCCCTCCTTTTGGTGGGGACAATTTCATGCCTTGTCAACAATAATTGTGGAGCGGAGAGAGAGAGAGGGACACATGCGTGGCTTTTGGTGGTGGTGGTGGTGATGGCGTGACGAATAAATGGGATGTAATAAATTAAATTAAAAAAATCCCTCTGCGCCCTTTAATTAATTCATGATTGTGTAATCATCCTAATGAAATTATCCTATTTTTTTAACGGACGTGTGGGATCGGATGGATGAATGAGGTCGGGTCGGTCTCCGTTTGAGTGGTGTCCCCTTTCATATTTCAGTGGTGAATGCTTCCATTTCTTGGTCCCCTGTAATAATAATCTTGCCGAGAGAATGAGGTACTTATTATTGTGCGGGTGAGAAAAATATTTAAGGGACGCAGATGAGAAGAAGGTGATCACCTTTTCTATATAATTTTTTTGCCACTAATAAATTATTTATATGGGGAATAAATATGCTACAAAAATATGTATAAAATCGGATAGATATTCAGAAAATTTACACATTTTTCTCTACAATTCTACGCAAACTTTTATGAAAAATATTCATTAAACAAGAGTGAAAGAGAAAAAATGTGCAGGATTTAAACACATATTTTCAGAAAATTCTAATAAATTACATAAGAACGTATGTAAATATGTGCAAAATATGCATGGAATTACCCTATTACAAAGAGCCATATACCCAAAATTTGTCTCCAGTGCAGAAAATCGGGATTTTTTATGCAGAATTTTGGTCTGAAGCTGGTCGGAAATTGGGAAAATTTTCGATTTTCATACAAAAAAGTGTGTATAGATTTGATAGAGATAAGTTGGATTGTACACACGGTGGGGAAGTGATGAAGATCATGATGACGATGATTGTTGTGTTTGTGTGGTCGGAGGGAATTTGTATAAAGTGTCAGGCTTTGGGATGAGGTGGCATTCCGTTTTGTGGTTCGAGTGATTGATGATGTGTTGGCAGAAATGTGAAATGTTTTCCTTTTTTAAACTTGACAAGTTGGACAGGGACATGACACTCGGCTCCGTCCACAGGCTTTCAACTACACTTTTTTTGTCCCCCACTCACTTACTTGTCCCCACCACCAACAAACAGATTGCGGTTTAAAAGGGTTTAAAATAAATAAAATAGAAAATTATTAACTCTGAATAAATGCTGTCATGCCTAATTTTTCAATATTTCTAAAAAAAGATGATTTCCAAATTTCGGGTTTAAAATAAATAAATAAAAATCAAAAAATGTATTAACTTTGAAGCAATGCTGTCATGCCTAATTTTTCAATATTTTTAAAAAACATTATTTCCAAATTTCTGGTTTAAAATAAATAAAACAAAGTCAAAAATTATGTTGCATAACTCTGAAAAAATTTTGTCATAAATAATTTTTCAAAATTTCTTAAAAAACGGATCATTTCCAAATTTCAGTACTTTCAGAGATGAAAAATCCTCTCGTCCAATTGTTAAAAATTTGTGGAGACGATATAAAAAATGATTTAGAAGTTTCTGAACTCTCTGAAATTTCAGGAGTTTTAAACATTTCATTTCATCATGGATGTTTGAAAAAAAGTCGTAAATTTCGTCTATGAAAAATTTCTGAAATTCAATTTCTGAAATTTTTGCAGATAAAACAGAAGAACAAATTAAATATTTCAGATCTCAATGGTATTTATTTACTTATTATTTCAGTTCGTGATGCCATTAATTAGATAATTAATTACGTATTACATTATTAATTATTGGGGAGGCTTTAATTCTAATAATTAGGTTATACGTATAGTATATACTAGTACATACATTACATACGAATGTACATATGTAGAACTGACTTGGAACTGTAGGCATTTATTTAATTATGTTCATTATTGTTGGAAATTTTTAATTAATTATTTGACACTGTTTTTTATTCTCCTTTAAATAAATACTAATTAAACGAAACAATTAATAATTGTTCTGTATGTAAAATTGCACTCTTGGAATGTAACAAACAAATCGTAAAGCACGAGAAGAAGAAGAATGACTCACGAACACAAATGCACGTTGTCGTCTCAAGTTTTCAGAATGACATTAATAAACTAAAAACTGTGCAAAAGTGAATTTTGAGTCAAAATTTTTGACTTTTTTTGATGAATTTTGGATCTAAATTTTTATAAAGTTTACATAAATTTGGTAAATTTGTGTGTTTTTTTAGTCTAAACAAGCAGGATTTAAAAAAATTATGAAATTTATGTCCAAATTTACACCTCGGAATCTGCCTTAAAATTCACGTTTGCCCAGTTTTTAAAATTTCTTTGACCCGTTGACAACCGTGCATTTGCATCTTATGTATGTAAATTACCTCATTTTTAAGAGAGAGAGAGAGCAAGTAAAAATATATTTTTAAAAAAGGTACAAAAAAATCGGTTTACCTAAAATAAGGTGAGTAATGTTAATATTTTTTTATGTTTAGATTCTGCATGGATCCATCACGGTTGGAAAAAGGATTGCACGTTGTTGACTATTTATTATTGCGTGAGAAGATTGAGGCTGCGGCATGAAACCTGCGGAAACCAATCACATCCAAAAATCAATTAATCATATTTCCTAAAATTTCCTTAATTAATTAATCATTTCCTCAATTAATCATTTCCTCAATTAATCGTTTCCTAAGCAAATCCACATTGCGAAAAAATTCGCACGTTTTTACGCACGTGCACGTTTACAAACGTGCACAATTTCTCAATGGGGGTATTCATTACGAGTTCGCATGTACGCATCACAACACATAATTCTGAACAAAAGAATTTTGCGAACTAAATACACTTGCAAGATTTGTAAAAGTTCGTAAATGAATTTTTAAGCAATGAAATTACTTTTTCAAACTTGCGAACTTTATTTTATTGTCAACGATGTGAATACCCCCAATGTAAACTTGCACTCTTTTTGCAAAACATTTTCATGCCAAATTCTGCAAATTCTACAAATCCGTCAATTTATATCCCTCCACTCACCTTTATTATTGATCCCGCCACCACCCACCCCATTATCGCCATTATTATTATACGAAGATGACGACGAGGACGACGGGGTCGTCGAGAGGGCAGCCATCATCGGAGTAAAATCCCCCTGCCCCCCTTGCCCCTGTCCTCCCTGTCCCTGCATATTATTATCCTGCCCCCCCAGCGGTGACCCTGGCAGCGGAAGCGGAGATCCAGCACCACCACTACCCCCCAACTTCTTATTAATTCCCCCCGTCCTGCTAAAACTCGTATTATTATTATTATTATAAAGTGACGATGACGACGACGACTTTGGGGAGTGGTCATCCCCGCTGTGATGATGGTTATGGGCGTGGGAGTGGTGGTGGTTATTGTTGTCGCTTCCCCGTTTCCCCCCACGACCCCCACCGCCCCCACCCCCACCACCATCTTCGGAGGAGGACATGTGGTGGTGGTTATCGGAGGAGGAGTGTTGCTGCTGCTGCTGCTGTTTCGCGGAGGACGACGATGACGACGAGCGCGCCTCTTGCTGCGCCTTTTTCGACCGTTTCCACTTCATGCGACGATTTTGAAACCAAATTTTGACCTGAGGAAGGAAAATAAAAAAACTTGTTTTGAAGCCAAATTTTGATCTGAGGATTGAAAATAAAAAACTCGTTTTGAAACCAAATTTTGACGTGAGTTTGGAAAATACAAAATTCGTTTTGAAACCAAATTTTGACGTGTTTAGAAAATAAAAAACTTTTTTTGAAACCAAATTTTGATCTGAGTTTGAAAAATAAAAAATTCTTTTTGAAACCAAATTTTGACCTGAGTTTGGAACACGATAAAACAAAGAAAATCTTGTTAGTGCGACGATGATGACTTTGTTTTTTGTTGGGAGAAGGAGAAGAAAGTTTTTTAGGGTGCCATAAATCACGCCTCGTGTCAATTAGCTTATTGGGCGAGAGAAAGTTTGCGAAGGAAATATTAGTATTGAAATGTTGGAGAGGGATTTGTCTCGCAAATCATGCCCGGAAATTTATAGGGTAGAAATTATGACTTTTATTTTTTTTTCGGGGGGAAACATGCATCCTGGTAGGCAATTTGGTAAATAAACTTGGTTGAAATGATGCTTTCTCCACCTCATATTTCATAATTTTGAGAAATTATCCTTCATATTTCATAGTTTTGAGAAATTATCTTTTTTTCGGAAACCATGCCTGATTAATATACATAAATAATCTGCCAGACTTTGTTCACCTTTCACCGAGCTATTTATCCACCAAACCGTGCCCCCTCCTCCCCAGAAAAAAAATCATGGGCTTATCGGGATGCATACATATATAATTATGACATTGGTCAAGATAAGTAAGTGGAGATAAGCAGGTGGGTGTTACCTGGGTCTCGGTGAGCATGAGTGACGTCGCGACCTCGAACCTCTTTGGTCTCGATAAGTACTTATTTTGTCGGAATTGTCTCTCGAGTTCGAGGAGTTGTTGTGAGGTGAAGGCGGTCCGAGGGCGGCGTGTCTTCCCCAAAAGGGCTGCGGAGGGACCTCCTACAAAAGTAAGGAGACGACATGAGCCACTAAATAACAAATAATAACCACACCCATCAGCAAAACTTACACCATCTAAAAACATCAATTTTCTCATTCACATATTACCCGGGTTTTATCTAATTCAGGAGCAAATTTATTCATATGCAAATAAGTCAAATATTCACATCTTTGTCGAATAATAGATGAATCATTTGCCAAAACTTTAAATTTTTAAAGTCATAGATCAATTCACGTCAACCTTCGTGTAAACCTGCGAAACTTACAAAAACTTTACGAAGATGTAATACGTGTTTTTTAGTTCGTAAGCTGATCTTCATAAACTTTCGTGGTTACGGAGTTACGAAGGGTGACGTGGATTGCCTCTGTGTAAAAAAAATTTCGGAAAATTTTAGGAACAAATGCTTATCATACATGGATTAATTACTTGTTGAAATTCTCTGATCTCTGATTTATATCTCATTTTGTGTGAGACCCAGAAAGGGATTGATTCCCATCTAAATAATTTCTCCAACAATGCGGTAGCCAAAAATCAGATATGCACCTTTTCCATCCACCAGTAAATATTCTCATTCTTATTGCACCACTACTGACTTTTGACTCGGAAATCAAGAGCGGTTCCACTTACGGGGGGAAGCAGTGGCCGCGGAAGCAGTGGGGACATTTGGGGGAATGGACGTGTTTATATAAGATTATGCCAACATCGAACAACCGTGGGGACATGGCCCCCCTGTCCGCGGCCACTGGTCGAAAACGGCGAAGGGGACGATGACAAGGATGAGATAACAACAAATCACTTTCCGCCAGCAACAATGGGAGGATTATTGTTGGCGCGGACAAAAGGTTGGTGATGATCTGGAAAGATCTCATTTCATTTCCTTGTTGTGTCATATTTTATTTATTGCGGCGTGGAGGACACGCATTTAGCCAAAGGACGCCCCACGGAGGACCCTTTTTCGCCACCAAATAAGTCATTATAAGACCCAAAAGGGATACAAATGCTCATTTTTCATCATCCATTTAGTGCAGAACGGTTGTAGAAATAAGAGGAATGGGAAAATTATAGTTGCGTGATTAGCATGCAACAAATATTTAGATATTTTTTTTAATTTGTCGTTGATACTCAAACTTTGTGGACACAGAGTACTTAAGTTTCCAACAAAATTTCTGTATGCCAAAATTTTCTAAATATTTTCCCTAAGTAAAAAATTAATAGTAAATATTTCACATAGGTTTTCTAAATGTCCTAAATATTTCGACGATTTTTAGACAAATAACGATTAATTTTACGTTGAAAACATTTGTCTTGACAATTGGAGTTCAAATTAATTTCAATAATTTCATTAGTTACAAAATATATTTCTAACTTTTCATAGATAAATATCAATATTTTGTACATATGTATGTACATATTTCACCCGAAAAATGTCAGTATTTCGCTTATGTTTAAAAATATTTACAAATCTTAAATTCTTTAAAGATAAAAATTGAATTGAGGATAATTTTAAGAACTGTATTTAAAAAGTAAATTCGTCAAAAAATGCACAAAAATTCATCCTTTCGTATTAAAATTAAGTTTTTTAAACTGAAATATTTTTCACAGTTTTTCATAACTACGTATTCATCCACCCAATATTTAGTAATTCTAATTATGTAATGTAGGCATCAGTTAGTGAAAATGACGCTTAATTGATTCATGCATTAATTTGATGAACCGATAAATTAATTCTGTCCCATTACGTAATAATTTTATGGTTTGACCCGTTCCACAATTTTGGTGGGGCACACTCTTTTTTTCTGCTGATTGGCATATCACCATTAAATTAGTTGCGGACGTAGCCAACTTTTTTTTCGTGGTGGTTTGGTTGCAAATGACGCAAAAAATTAGTGCCGGGATCCAATGTGCATTATCCTTATTACTACTATTACTTATCGTAAGATATTATTAGGGGAGGAGGTTGCATTGCATGGCGTGGAATATTTTACCATTTTTCCAAAATCCCTACCCCCCGTCCCACCAACTGTTTCTATTGACAAAAGAGTGTCATAAATGCATTTCCCCGTGTGTGTAATCATCCCATTAGTGAGCGAGGAATAATTACGACTTGCCGACATACTTTGTCAACAAGGAAGCAGAGAGTAAAGAGAACTAAATCGCGTTATGGATCGAGGACTGAAAAGTAAGTTGTACAATGTTTACAGTTTAATATTTCGGGTGCAAGTAAATCGTAACTTGGAAGAAATAAGGGAGAGAAAGTGGTTTCTTGCTTGCAGGGATATATTTTGACCTGGGAGAAATGCACGGTGCAAGAAACCACGCCCTGCCGTGGTAAATACTTCATACGGCCCGTGGCTGGATGGCGTGTATTTCTCCCACTTTCTCCCAGTTTCTTGCACCTTCTCGCACCTCTCATTTCTCGCTTTGCAGTCCAAGAAATGCAGCAAACCCGCAAGAAACAAAACACTGGGCAGGATATTTACTTATCGGGGGGGGGGGGCATACATTTAAATGAGGGCAAATCGAGCAAATCGGGCCTAAAATCCCCTCAATTCTATCGAAGAAACAAGAATAAGAGACGAATAACAAGCATTTTTAGCTATTTATCAAGTTTTCCTACGACCCATTTAAACTTCTGCACGTATTCGCATACATAAGGACCATTTAGTAATAAATGCCATGCCCAAAATGCCCTCAATTTATCCCATACGTACAACTTTGCCGATCTATTCTATTCAAAACTTGATTCAAATTCTATCCTTTAACCAACCCGTCTAAAAATAACTATGTACTTGTTACAAAAATGGTATGGTCCCATAAATTTCTTTCCTCTTGTCACCTTTTCCTCCCTAATTACAAGGCGGTACGTGCCCCCATTGTTGCGTCGTAAGTGGTTCCTTTCCTCTCCTGAATGGAGAGGTTAAACAAATTGACACCGCAAAAAAGAAAGAAGAAAAGTCTTTCAGAAAATAAGTAAATATCCAAATCCGTTACATACTTTTGTCTAGAGAGAGATCGGAAATGTGAGGAGAGATAAATCACAAGTGGAGAAATTCGTGGTCTGGTGAAAATGCGATCTCATATTTCATGTCTTCAGAGAGTGCAGGATTTTGATAAATAAATAAATAGGTAGCAGGCAGGCAAGTACGTACAGTGGCCGCGGAAGCTGTGAGGACAGAGGGGGACGTTAAACATTGTAAAATAGTGGAGGGGACGGCTTTGTATAACGCGGAGAAATGATAGGGATACCGAATAGCCTTAGTGACATTGTCTTTCTGTCCTCACCCTTCCGCGATCACTGTGAATCCTCCATTTATGCATCGCTAGTGACCGCGGAAGCCGTGGGGACATTAACATCGTAGAATATGTCAAGGGAGGGGTTTGTATAATGATGGGGACACCGATTCATTGTCCCTCTGTCCCCACACACCCTTCCGCGGCCACTGATTGGCCAAGTACATAAGTGAGTGAATCAGGACACTAGGGTTTTGTGCGGGTATGAGAGTGGTGGTGGTGGCAGAGCAGATGTGCGGAGCAGGAGCGTTTCTGGGGCCTCCTGCGGTGTGAGGCAAATCTCTGAAATTAAATTAGCATCAGAATGCCATCAAAGAAGGGTCGGAAGTCGAAATTTGTCTGCTAATAAATAAATCGTCTCCCACTTTCCCCTTAAGTGAGTGCTGCTTGTGCTTTATAGTAATTGGTCAAACCGATGGATGGATGGGGTGTCAAACTGGGGTCAATATCCAGCTCACTAATTGTAAGAATGCAAGTCTCTCATCATATGCGATCCGATTTTGAGGAAATTAGTGTCAATCGATGAGAAACTTAATTAGCAATTCGCGAAAGACACGATCTCCTCATGGGTATGTTTAGCCAAGATATTTGCATCCCAAGAGGAGAAAACGCGCTATAAAGTCGACAAATTTTACACTTTCTAAACTTACTGTGCGTTTTCTGCAAATATCTCGGCCAAACGTGCCCATTGGCAGATCCTGTCTTTTGCAAATTGCATCCTAATCAAATTTGCGATCGATTGACACTAATTTGCTCAAAATCGGAGAACATACGCTCGGATATGTACATTGTAAGAAGACGGATAAATGTACAGGTTAATTAGATTGATAAGTATATAGATGGATAAGCCCCTTGAAACAACTGTTACTAATGTCCCCCAAAATCTCCTTATCCAGAGACTCGGTAGTCAATCCCACATATTTTCATTCCATGTACTCACAATTTTCTCAATTTTCATAACTTACATATTTCATACGTAAATAAAATATATTTTTACGTTACGTAATGTAAATCATTGTTATTTCTTCGCATCACAGAAATCACCAAGAGAAGAATGTCTTCGCAACGCAACGTTCCTCCCTCTCCCACATTGATCATCTCATCTCTGCTCTCTCAATCAAAAACTGAAGATAGGAAATGTAAACATTCCCCTTTTACGTAATGATTTCGCCCGAATAATGATTGCAAATTTTGATTGCAAATTTTTCCACATGAATCCACACACAAGAGCGAGGCGCCATTATGTGGCATGATCTTCTTGATTTTCGTCGTCGTCTGGCTTTTACTTTATTCCGTCCACGCCGCCGGAGAATTTTGATGCACCGAGAGCAAATTAATATTCCGAGCGGAGCCCATCTTCCCAGATCTCTTGTGAAAATATTGTAATGGAGGAGAACAAGAGAACACGAGAACAAGGACAAGGCAAGAACGAGGAGGAGATATTCCTCTCCTCCGTCGTCATGATCGTGCCGTTATGCTAAACTAATGTACAAACTAATCATCCAAATATGTATGGATGGATATCTGGCTCGCTTATCTTATCTTATTTCTTCCCCTCCTCCTCCTCCTGTGCAAATATGAAGAACGTTCCGGATTACGTATTTTAGGACGTCTTAGACAGAAATTGAGTCCTTTTGTACCTAATTTAATGCCAGATTCGGGGTCGTTATTTAAATCGAAATCAAAGTAATTTCTTCGGATTTTTAGT